TTGAGGCACCATTCCTCCCAATAATATGGGGCACTATTTCTCCCACTAGCACCAATGATAGGGCACTATATGCCCCACTGACACCAACAATAGGGTGCTATTTCTCCCACTGACACCAACGATGGTGCACTATTGCTCCCACTGACACCAACGATGGGGCACTATTCCTCCCACTGACACCAACGATGGGGCACTATTCTTCCCACTGACGCCAACGATGGGGCACTATTCTTCCCACTGACGCCAACGATGGGGCACTATTCTTCCCACTGACGCCAACGATGGGGCACTATTCTTCCCGCTGACGCCAACGATGGGGCACTATTCTTCCCGCTGACGCCAACGATGGGGCACTATTCTTCCCGCTGACGCCAACGATGGGGCACTATTCTTCCCGCTGACGCCAACGATGGGGCACTATTCTTCCCGCTGACGCCAACGATGGGGCACTATTCTTCCCGCTGACGCCAACGATGGGGCACTATTCTTCCCACTGACGCCAACGATGGGGCACTATTCTTCCCACTGACGCCAATGACATGACACTATTCCTCCCACTGATACCAATAACGGGCCACTATTCCTACCACTGATATCAGTGATGGGGCACTATTCATCTCACTGACACCAACAATGGGGCACTTTTTTTTCACACTGACACCAATGATGGGGCACTATACATTCCACTGACACCAATGATGGGGGCAATATTTCTCCCACTGACCCCAATGAGCAGCACTATTCCTCCTACTGACCCCCAACCCTAAGGCCATGTTTATTCACACTGATGCTGGGCCTAGGACAGTTTCTACCCCCACTGGCCACAACCTGGCCCCCCTAAAGTCTAAAAAAAAACCCTGCTCTTGATCAATATAGTTAATTAAAAACGGAATAGTGTCTTTTAATGCCTTTAAGGTTAGTTTTTTATTTATGTATTTTTTTTTAAAGTGGTGAGGGGTTAGAACTTTTGTTATTGATGTCTGTCACCTGTTAGGGAGAGTCACCCTCTCAATCTGTCCCTGTGGTCACCAGGACAAATAGAGAGAGTAAATCTAACTCTTTACCACTTCATACAAAAAGTTACCAAATAATTTCTTACCTGCCTTAATGCTTGTGTATTCCAATTTTTTTATTTGTCTCCATCACATATCAATGAATGTCATTTTGAAGGACTTCTCGTCTCCTATTTGCTTCACATGTCTAATTTCTACTTGTTTTCTCTGACAGGTGGTATTTCAGGCATTCGGAGTCCGGGCGTACACAGATGATCATCACTTGGTGGATGTCATGATAATGTTACTGCTCTATGGCTGGGCTGTCATTCCCCTTATGTACTTGTTTAGCTTCCTATTCACCTCCACTGCAACCGCATACACCCGACTCACCATCTTCAACATTCTGTCTGGCACAGCCACCTTCTTATCGGTCACTATCATGAGCATTCAAGGTAGGAATGGCAAACTCTTACTGCTACAGTTAGCATACAGCTGTCACCAATAGGAAATTTAACAAAGGAACAATATTGAATGCCTTTATTAGGTTTGAGCTGGAAATAGTGATGTTAAGCCCCACATTCAGCTGACTCCTTTCATCTCTTTATAAGCATGTTACCATATCAGCATTAGCAGGTTTGTGTGAAACTCCTTACATTCAGGTTGACTTTATTTTTTTGGTTAGATTGCAACAGATTTTCTGGTGATTTGGGTGTATTTTATTTATATTTATATATTTTTTAAATTGTTTTGTGAGTATATACAATATATTGCTGAAAGTACTGGGCCAGCCCTCCAGATCATTGGATTCAGGTGTTCCATTCACCTCCATGGCCACAGGTGTATAAAATCATCACCTATGCATGCAGACTGCTTCTACAAACATTTGTGAAAGAATGGGTCGCTCTCAGGAGCTCAGTCAATTCAAGTGTGGTACGTGATAGGTTGTCACCTGTGCAATAATTCTATCTACTAAATATTCCACGGTCAGCTGTTAGTGGTGTTATAACAAAGTGGAAGCAACTGGGAACAACAGCAACTCAGCCACCAAGTGGTAGGCCACGTAACATGACAGAGCGGGGTCAGCGCATGCTGAAGTGCACAGTCTGCAACTGTCTGCAGAGTCAATAGCTAAAGACCTCCAAACTTGTGTGGCCTTCAGATTAGCACAACAACAGTGTGTAGAGAGCTTCATGAAATTAGTTTCCATGGCCGAGCAGCTGCATCCAAGCCTTATATCACTAAATGGAATGCAAAGCGTCGGATGCAGTGGTATAAGCACGCCGCCACTGGACTCTAGAGCAGTGGAGACATGTTCTCTGGAGTGACGTATCATGCTTCTATGTCTGGCAATCCAATGGATGTGTCTGGATTTGGCGGTTGCCAGGAGAACGGTACTTGCCTGATTGCATTGTGCCAAGTGTAAAGTTTGTTGGAGGGGGGATTATGGTGTGGGGTTGTTTTTCAAGAGTTGGGCTTCGCCCCTTAGTTCCACTTCAGCATACCAAGACATTTTAGACAATTTCATGCTCCCAACTTTGTGGGAACAGTTTGGGGATGGCCCCTTCCTGTTCCAACATGACTGCACACCAGTGCACAAAGCAAGGTTCATAAAGACATGGAGGAGTGAGTTTGGGGTGGAGGAACTTGACTGAACTGATCTCAACCCCATAGAACACCTTTGGGTCACTCTTCATTCAGCATCTAGGCTCGAAAAGAGGTCATTCTTGAAGAATGGAAAAAGATGTTGCTAGTGATGGGCTTTATGTTCGAGACTCGAGCAGTAAGGGCGTTCGGCAGGCTGTTCACCCACCGCACCCCACAATGCACTGTGCTGTGACAGTGCATTGTGATTGGCCAAAGCAATGCACCTGACCACAGGTCAGGTGCAATGCTTTGGTCAATCACAGCACATGAAGATGTCACAAGTATTGTGACGTCATAACAGTATTTCAGAACTGTCCTCTCGGCACATCATTTTTGCATCAACTAATTTGAGTAAAACTGAAGATTTTGTAATCAAAGTTATATTATTAACCTTACTTTTCATGTAATGAGCTATAAAAAATGTTCTATAAAACTAATTTTCTCAAAAGTTTTGAAATTGTTCTTGTGTTCATTGAGATATTGATTAAAATCTTACTTTTCGAAAGAGGTGTACTCATTTAATAACAGGTCCAGTACTAAAAGGTTTCCTGTGTCCGAGTAATAAGTCAGGAGGTGTGTATTTTAAAGCGTGATGCACCCTAGGACCTCCAACCTCTAAGGCAGTCCATTAGGGACTTGGCTGCGTAGGTGGGGAGTGTCCAATGATGTCATCATGCTGTTCGGTCCTATCAGGTGCTGCTGCATTCACACAGGCAGAAGAGCAGTGATAGGCTTCTCCAGGGATTTGTTTTAAATGCTGAATGATCGTCTCTTAATTTGAGTGTTGTTAACCGCTGATTTAAAATAAAATAAGCATGCAGTGAGCACTATGGAGTTCTTTATTGTGTTTTGAGCTATATTATACATTTTGTGGAGGGGAGCACTGGAGGCAGTTGCGGAGAAGTGCTATGAAATCCAGTGTCATATACATGCTGCTTTTGACCTTCTATAAATATAGAGGTCCATCAAGTTTTGTGAGAGTACACCTATAAAGCACTAAAGGTGGAGGATGGGATTATACACAGAGTGTCCTGACACGTGAGAAGGAAAGGATTTACTTACATAGTGCTCAAGTGTGTGGAACTGTTAGACTTGCACAAAGTATGATCACTGCGGGGGACACTAAACTTATTTATTGCTGGTGGATTTTTTTTATTGGATTTGTTTGTTTATTGAGTATGGATTTTCAGGTTTAACTTTTGTATTTGCACAATACGTATGTTTTATGTATTTATTCAGTGTGATTAGTGACACATTTATTTATATATTACATAAGTCTGTGAAATTTCTAATATATATACATGCTATATTGCAAAAAATATTGGGGTGCCTGCCTTTACACACACACATGAACTTTAATGACAACCCAGCCTTAGGCCGGCCATACATGGGTCGCAATTCGACCGTTTTTTCATCCAAAAATCGGACCTAAGAATAATCGACCGATTTTCGCTCTGTCAGTGGGTCAGTGGCACCAGACGATTTTCGTGATTCCTCCCCTTTTTGGTGTTTGGGCATGTTGGAAAATTCTTGAAAAGCGACCGATTTTCGACTCAATGATGGTCAAATCGTACGATCGTTTTTCATGAGCTGTGACCTGGAAGGAACAGAAGTTTCGCATGTTATATGGGGTGAACTTTATGACTTGGTCGGCCGATTTTCGTAATCAATGATGGCACCATCGGATTAGTCTGTAGGGTTCAATATTGAGTTCTCTCGCCCTTTGCAGCTATAACAGCTTCAACTCCTCTGGGAATATTTAGTAGCAAAAAAATGTCACGGATGGACTTATTGCACAGGTGACAACCTATCACGGTACCACGTTTGGAGTCACTGAGCTCCTGAGAGTGACCCATTCTTTCACAAATGTTTGTAGAAGCAGTCTGCATGCCTAGGGGCGTGATTTTATACACCTGTGGCCATGGAGGTGATTGGAACCCCTGAATCCAATGATTTGGAGGGGTGTTCCAATACTTTTGTCAATATAGTATATATACAGTTGTGCTCAAAAGTTTGCATACCCTGGCAGAAACCGTGCCAAAGGCATTGACACTGAAAATATGACTTTCGTGCCAAAATGCTGTCTTTTATTTAAGGATAGTGGTCATATGAAGTCATTTATTATCACATAGTTGTTTGGTTCCTTTTTAAATTAAATGGCCAAATGGCCCTGATGAAAAGTTTCCATCTCCTGGAATGTTTGGCCTTGGTACAGACACATAAGGTGACACACACAGGTTAAAATGGCAATTAGAGGTAAATTGGTCACATCTGTGGCTTTTTAAATTGTCTGTGTATAAATAGTCAATGAGTTTCTTAGCGCTTATGTGGATGCACTGAGCAGGCTAGATACTGAACCATGGGAAGCAGAAAACAACTGTGAAAAAAAGACTGTCAGGCCCGAGCTCATGATGATGTCATATGTGACGAAATACGTAGGGTAGAGCCAGGACACATACCAACCATGCATGCGCAATTGATCTTGGCCATCTTTAATTCTGGCGGATGGGCATTCTTGCATACTAGAAGTACTGCATATTCTTTTACTCGTGTAAGTGTGATACATTTTTACTTTTTATTGCTGGTCTTCACTATGGAGAGTGTCTTTTTTTTTTTTTTTTTTTTTTTTTTTTTTTTTTTTTCTTTCTTTACTTTTGGTGTAATAATTGAACCCAAGGGTATGGGCGTTTTTGTGGCATGGTGGTTTGGGAGACCAATTGATCCGATGATCTCTTATCCCATTTTGATGACCAGATTGCTGGCTTTGGGGAAGGGATAGACTCTTGGCATATTACAAGCATTTTTGACCATTATGCTTTAGTGGTCCTATAGTCCTGGTAAGCCCCCCATCTGCTTTCACTGAGGTGGTGCAACGTGCCTGCTATCTGGGGTCTGGAGGATTTCTATCTTTCTCTCAGACTGAACCTCAAAGGGATTCCATCTTTTTTTTTTTTTTGATTTACATCTCTTTGGACTCTCTTATTTTGTTTTTTATGGGCTCTTTCACTGAGTTTTTGATTATATATGAATTATCACTATTTTATTTATTTACTGCACATATATGAATTACATTTTTATTAATTGTTTTTAATTAATTAATTAATTAATTAATTAATTAATGATCTACACTGGTGGCCAAAATTGTGGATACACCTTACTTTTTTACAAACTTTTGCAGTTTCAAGTACTTTTTATATAAAAAATCTCTAAAAATGTTATAGCACAAGTAAAATTTAATATAGTAAATGAATGCCTTAAACAAATAAGTTTAAAATATTCAATTTTAAAAAGTTCATTTTTGGCTGGAAATGTACCATAATGCATCTTGGCTATTATATAGCATAAAAATGATAATTTAAAGTTTGTCACAATGTGTTTTTTGAATAATGTGTTGGCTAGCCTTTGGCCTTAACTACTGCCGACACCCTCTAGGCATTGACTCTACAAGCCTTTTGACATCCTTTTCTGTGATCAAATGATGCCAGGAATTGATTATAGCCTCAATGAGTCCTAGCTTGTTGCTTGGATTCTTGCTTGAGACCATGCGTTTCAATCTTGACCACAGATTTTCGATGGGATTCAAGTCAGGGCTATTTCCAGGCAGGGAAGCAGAGGAATTTTTTTGTCATTGAACCATTTAAGGCATTTGCGAACTGTATGGCATGGAGCTCCATCCTGTTGAAAAGTAAATTCTGTGCCTTTGTCCGCTAAGTTGCTTATTGATGGGATCAACTTTGGTTCCAGGACCTCTTTGATGTATCGCTCTGCATTAATAATGCCATCAATAACCTGCATTCGTCCAATGCCATTCCAAGACATGCAGCTCCATATCATGATGCTTTGAGGGTGTTTCATTGTTGCTGTCATGCACTCAGGAAGGCATTCTTCACCTGACCTCCTTCGCACGCATCGAACACCATCGCTTCCGAAGATAGAAATTCGTGTTTCATCACTCCAATCTTCTGTTGTCCAATTTTGATGTTCCTTGGCCCATTCGACTCTTTTCTTTCTTTGTTGGCAGTTCAAAAATGTTTTTTTTTTTTCTTGGTATTCTAGCTCTTACTCCAGCAGCAACAAGTCGACTTCTTACTGTTCGGTCAGACACTGACAGTCCTCCATCTGACAACACCTTGTTGATATCCTTGGCAGAGGATTTTCTATTCTGCAAAGCAAGTCTTGCAATTCTTTTGTCAGTTTTGGGTGTTGTAGCTTTTTCCTTCTTTTTGCCTTGCTGTGTTTTGATACTTTTGGTGTTCGTATGTCATGCACACAGCTTCTGGACTCCGGATGCAGAAACTCCTTGACCCATTTTCCTGGCAATTTCGAGAAAACTATAACCTTCATTTCTTAATGTTATTGCTGCTGCTCTTTTCTTTGGTGACCAGTCGGACCTTTTGATTGAGAGCATCATTAATTTCTACAAATATATTTATTTAAGTACATTTTAGGTCAAAACAGCACAATATTATTTTAATTTATTTAATTCTTCTAATATCATTTAAAAAATACATAAAATGGAAAATAGTTTCCTAAGCTCTATATATCATTGGAGGCATTGCAACTAGAATCACTGTTATGCAACATAATGCTTTATTCTGACCAAATACTATAATATATACACAATAATATACAAACGAAAATTGGCAAAATTTCCTCACCTTGTCACCAGCTAGCTGTCTGTCAATTAATTTTCAGTAAATCTGCTCAAATTAATTCAAAACTTGTATCATATGTTGTCAAAAATATTGGTTTACCGTTTGCATAGAATAGCTAATGTCTAGAAGAAAAAAACAAGGGAGTAAGTAAAGATATCAACCAAAACTGACAAAATCAGAAGGTGTATCCACAATTTTGGCCACTAGTGTATTGCAGGTTTAAAGTCTAACTTTATTAATTGTGTTTTTTCACTACTCACCGTGGGGTATGTTGTATGAGTTTACTTTGTTATTTGCACATACCTAATATTCATGATTATTTTTGATACAGTGCTACGCTGTTTGGTTTGAAATTCTATATACTATTGTATCTAAGTACTATATTACGTTAGCTGTTTATTTTGGGTTTATTTCGGTCCTAGCATGAATTTTCTTTCTTTTCTTAGGATTTGTAAATTTGACTTTATCTTTTTGTAATGCTTTGTGTCCAACCATCATTCACACTCAGATATTTAATTCTCTTAACAGCCCTTGGCATGGTAAACCTGTCTCGAATCCTGGACCTTGTATTTTTGGTGCTTCCCAATTATTGTCTGGGACGAGCATTTAGTAACTTCTATCAAAACTATCACTTCCTGCAATTCTGCACTTCTTCTATAGGAACTGAAATTGTCTGCAAAATGCTGAGTGAGTAATGAGCATCTGTCACCTTTCATGAGCTCCTGAGCTTAAAGTACCATCTTTAGGCTTTGGAAATAGTTGGAAATTTAAATATATGTATATATGTATGTGTGTATGTATGTGTGTGTATATATATATATATATATATATATATATATATATATACAGTCATGGCCGAAATTGTTGGCACCCTTGATATTTCTCCAGGAAATCATGTATTTCTCACGAAACGTATTGCATTAACACATGTTTTGCTATACACATGTTTATTCCCTTTGTGTGTATTGGGACAAAACAAAAAAAGGGAGATTCGACATAATGTCACACAAACCTCCAAAAATGGGCTGGACAAAAGTATTGGCACCCTTTCACAACTGCGGATAAATAAGAATGTTACAAGCATGTGATGCTCCTGTAAACTCACCTGGGGCAAGTAACAGGTGTGGGCAATATAGAAATCACACCTGAAAGCAGATAAAAAGGAGAGACGTTCACTTAACCTTTGCATTGTGTGTCTGTCTGTGCCACACTAAGCATGGACAACAGAAAGAGGAGACGAGAAACTGTCTGAGGACCTGAGAACCAAAATTGTGGCAAAATATCAACAATCTCAAGGTTACAAGTCCATCTCCAAGAACTAGATTTGCCTTTGTCCACAGTGCGCAACATTATCAAGAAGTTTGCAACCCATGGCACTGTAGCTAATCTCCCTGGTCGTGGACGGATGAGGAAAATTGATGAAAGATTGCAACGCAGAATAGTCCGGATGGTGGATAAGCAGCCCCAAACATGTTCCAAAGACATTCAAGCTGTCCTGCAGGCTCAGGGAGCATCAGTGTCAGCGCGAACTATCCGTCGACATTTAAATGAAATGAAACGCTATGGCAGGAGACCCAGGAGGACCCCACTGCTGACACAGAGACATAAAAAAGAGCAAGACTACAGTTTGCCAAAATGTACTTGAGTAAGCCAAAAGCCTTCTGGGAAAACGTCTTGTGGACAGATGAGACCAAGATAGAGCTTTTCGGTAAAGCACATCATTCTACTGTTTACCGAAAACGGAATGAGGCCTACAAAGAACAAAACACAGTACCTACGGTAAAATATGGTGGAGGTTCAATGATGTTTTGGGGTTGTTTTTGCTGCCTCTGGCACTGGGTGCCTTGACTGTGTGCAAGGCATCATGAAATCTGAGGATTACCAAAGGATTTTGGGTCGCACTGTAGGGCCCAGTGTCAGAAAGCTGGGTTTGCGTCCAAGATCCTGGGTCTTCCAGCAGGACAATGACCCCAAACATACGTCAAAAAGCACTCAGAAATGGATGGCAAAGAAGCGCTGGAGAGTTCTGAAGTGGCCAGCAATGAGCCCAGATCTAAATCCCATTGAACACCTGTGGAGAGATCTTAAAATTGCTGTTGGGAAAAGGTGTCCTTCCAATAAGAGAGACCTGGAGCTGTTTGCAAAGGAAGAGTGGTCCAAAATTCCGGGTGAGAGGTGTCAGAAGCTTATTGATGGTTATAGGAAGCGACTGATTTCAGTTATGTTTTCCAAAGGGTGTGCAACCAAATATTAAGTTAAGGGTTAAGGGTGCCAATACTTTTGTCCAGCCCATATTGGGGTTTTGTGTGACATTATGTCATATTTGCTTTTCTGCCTCTGTTTTATATTTGTTCCAATACATACAAAGGGAATAAACATGTGTATAGCAAAACATGTGTTAATGCAATACCTTTTTTGTGTGAAATACTTGATTTTTCAGGAAAAATATCAAGGGTGCCAACAATTTCGGCCATGACTGTATATGGTGGTTGATTGTGTGAGCCAAGAATAATTTCAGCGAAATAACTATCATATTCCTTCCAGATATCAGCTATCAAACAAATTACTACTCTTTCTATCAACCGGGAGTGGGTCGTTATTTGACATCAATGACTGTCCAAGGCCTGACCTTTCTGTGTCTCCTCTTCATTATCGAGAGTCGAATCCTCTGCCAGCTTTGGCAGTTAAGACATCGTTACTGGGTACAATACATTTAGTTTGTTAAAGGAATATAAATTGATATATGATTGTTTGATTAAAATAGGTAACCACTTTAATAGTGGGCCAATTCTGACACTTCTCACATATATGTAACATTCTACATTCTTTTTGCTAGAAAATGATTTAGAACCCCCAAGCATTATATATTTATATTTTTTTTAGCAGAGGCCCTAGAGAATAAAATGGGTGTTGCACACGGTATTTGCACAGTGGTTTTTCAAGCACAATTTTTGGGGAAAAAATAAATTTTAATGAATTTTATTGCACATAAACACTATATAATACCCAATTTTTTAGTAAAATATAAATTATGATGTTACACTGAGTAACGGTACCTTAAAATCTCCATAGTAGGTGCTTTCAATGCCTTTTACAGGTTACTAGTTTAGAGTTACACAGGAGGTCCGGAGAAATATTTGCTCTCGCTCTGACTTTTGCGATGATACCTCATGTGTGGTGCTATCACCGTTTACTACATATGCATGTGGGACTTGTATATGACTATGCATTTGCTTGTGAGCACAGGGGCGCTTTTTTGTTGTTCATTTTATAAAAAACTTCTTTTACTCTGTCGCTTTAATTTTTTATATCAACTTTATTGCTGTCAAAAGGGATTAACAACATCCCTTGTGATAGCATGGGCCATGACAGGTCCTTTTTATAGAAGAGATCTAGACTCCAGATCTCTCCTCTGGCCACCAATGCAGCCAATCAGACACAGATCGGTCTGATCAGCTACTTTCCTGGCCACTAACGGCCAGGTAAACAAAGAACCGAAAATGACACAATCTTCATCACTTTTGGTTTCTGGGGTCACAGAGAGGGAGGAATGATGTCAGTTCCTCTCTCTCTCTCTCTGTTCACTGCTGCAGATGTCGCCGGTCGGACTGGTCATGGGCTCTCCCGTAAGGCGGTGACCGCCTTCCGCTGCCCCATAAGTGATCGAGTAGCTGTTCAGGGAATTGCCAGCTGCAAAATTTTATACCGAGATGATGTTTGCAGATGCAGGCATCATGCCAGCAAAACCACTTCACTCCAAGGACGTCATATGACGTCCACCTGGGGGGAATTAGTTAACTGGTGAGGCAGTGATATAGCTAGTATGTCAAACATCAGTAACATGATTGGTCAAAGCAAACACAAATTACTGGCCATTTTTGCCTGTGGTAGTGTCTTCCTTGTATAGTTGATCTATTTTCTTCTGTTAGAGGATAAACGGGTTCCCAACATTAGACTGTGCAGCTTTGCTTTCTGTTTTTTTAGATTCAACTTCATATGTTAAAAAAAACTGAAAAGAATCAAATAATCCATTATTTACAAAATACCTTTTGCTAAGTATGGTCATTTTAAATGAATACAATACAAACATTTTGTTTAACCTGTCTTATTTTTTTAGAGGCTGAACAAAGTACACACGCCTGCATTTGCCTTAAAGTATATGTGAACCCTCACCTTATAAAAGAACCCATTCAGTTTAAAATGGACATTAATGGCAAAACATTTGTGCATAGATATAAAAAATATATAAACACACCCTCTGTTCTCAGCTGCATAAGGAGCTCAGAGAGCTGGGGGAGGTGAAACAGCAGTACATTGGTGTTCACTGTGAATGGCTGGGCAGGGAGGAAGGGGGATGTTATGTCAGCAGAAGTCTCATCATGGAAGGAGAACAGGCTCTAGGGAACTGACAACGCTGTGCTCTCATGCCTAGTGTGGTTAGTTTTTAATAGTTGAGCAGAGACACTGGCAGGAACACCAGGGATTTCACATAAAGGAAGCAATACAAAAAGAACAGGATACTTTTTCATACAAGTACATAGTACAGCAGGCACATATCAGGAATTTGAAATATTGGTTTTACATATTCTTTACTTTTGTTACTTATGCCAAAATACTATATCTCTCCATCTTCTTTTTTTTCAGTCTGCACTCCCAGAATCTCCAGTCACTCCCCCAGAGGACCGAGATGTAGCTGATGAGAGAAAGAAGGTGTTGGAGTCTCCTGTAGAGCAATCCCTCAGCAGCCCTTTAGTAATCAGGGAGCTCAGTAAGGTGAGACCTGGGCAGGGAGTTTCTTTTTCTGATAATTCGATTAAAGAAAAAGAGTTTATTTCAAGAACCTTTTATAAATACAACTGTGTCTGAAGGTTCTCATTTATCCAGGTCATGATATTGATATTAATATTTAGCCACATTTAACTAGACTTTTCCTGCAATGTTAACCAGTATACATATACTTGTACATCAACCTTACAGGTCGACTTAAATGTCACAAACTACTTCTAGCTAATGCAAATCTGACTTTTTACCTTCTGAACATTATTTTTTGGATACAAAACCACCATAACCCACCATCTCCTCACTATATTTATAAGTATACCATGCCATACTGCCGCTTGGAACACACTACGTTCAATTGGGTGTTGGACAGACCAAGTGCCACAGGACTTTTTAGGGACGAATTGCAATCCTTTCTATTTCCTGGGATATGTTCCTTTTTGAACGGATATCTCCTTTGGATTTGTAATGGAGTTTGGTGCAACACTCCCAAGGATATAAGCAGATAAGGGTTGCTCCCTTGAATGAGTGAAAAAACAAATCACTTTGGCCATGGCTGCCTCAACCATTATTGTAATTCCACTCGGCATGGATGAATGTATTTTTGGACATTTGAAGAATGAAACTAGCAGAATATAAACCCCATTATTCCACTGAAGAAACCCCATTTGGGTGAAACACGTTGGGGTTCTGAACTGTTGATCGTTCATCAATATTCTATGTGGTTAAAACTTGGATAGCCATCTATCTGGCATCCTGATATAGGTGTCTGGTTATCGTGATGTTTTTATAGGGATGATGTTCTGTATTAATTTCCAAATTTTTTTTGATGGGTTTACGTATCCCCCATGTTTTTAATCTGAAATGTAGAAAAGCCATAAAAATAAAATTGTATATTCTGAGTCTATCTGAACACAGATGAAAAAATTGATCTCTAACTTGGCATAATCCTTTTTTTTAAGATATATGGTCGGCGTGACTTCGTCCTTGCTGTTGACCGCATGTCTTTAGCCATCAGCAGAGGAGAGTGCTTCGGTTTGCTTGGCTTTAATGGAGCTGGTAAGACCACCACATTCCGCATGCTGACTGGGGACGAAAGTGTCAGCTCGGGGGATGCATATATTGATGGACATAGTATCCTGAGCAGCATGAAGAAGGTGATTTTAATTTTTTTTTTTCTTGTTGTTTTTATATCTAGATTTGAAGGTTAGGAAATCTGCATTTTATTGCAATCACTCAACCTCCCTGCCTTATATCTAGTGACGGTATCAGTTATACCACATGTAGTGTAGTTGTAACATTGTTGACACTGGATTGGTAACCCATAAACCTGCATTGGGAGCATGTAAAATCATTGTGTAGCACTGAAATGCAGGAAACAGAGCTTGAGTATGTAGTAAGTAAATATGGCTACCCATGTACACATGCAATCATAAATTGTAGTTTAAAACAAGGTGTTTAAAGTCTCAGGGTTCGTTCACACTTGACTTTATTTCTAACTCTTGCCAAACGCCCCTATAGCATTTGACAAGCATTAGACAGACGTTTGTGAAGCGTTTTGAACGCTCCCAAAACGCCCTATAATGAAGTTTAAATGGTATTAACGCTCCACAAACGCCTCCCAACCACACCGCAAACGCCGGCCAGGGGTTTGCAGAGTGGCACCATAGACTTGAATGGGAGGCTTCAACTCCTCCTGACTCAACCAGAGGCGTCCGTTTTTCCGCGACACTAACGCTTCCGTATGGACATCACTGTGTGCTGCCATGTGCAGAATTTTCAGAGGTGTTTGAGAAGCATTAAAAACGCTTCCCAAACTCCTGTCTGACACTTGCTGACAGAGCTACTGTGAACGTAGCCTTAGCTCAAATTGATGGGGTTATCTTATCAAGCTAATCTCTTTGAAATATATCTCTAAATAAGAAGACTATACATTATGTGTTTGTCAACACTTTCTGTTCTTAGGCTCAGCAGCGGATTGGCTATTGTCCTCAATTTGACCCGCTGCTGGAACACATGACGGGTCGGGAGACTTTGTGTATGTATGCTCGTCTGCGCGGTGTCCCCGAGACCTACATTTCCAGTTGTGTGGAGAACATGCTGCGTGGTCTGCTCCTGGAGGCTTACGCCAATAAGCTGGTGCGGACATACAGGTGAGGAGCTTGTGATACATAGGCCTTACCTGTGTTCTACTTTGGAAAGAAAGTGAATCCCAGTCATTGAACAATACTACTAAACATGAAGTAAAGCCAATATATAAACGGCTGCCCTCATGCACACTATAAACTAGAAATTCCTATGCCAATTTTGTCTTTCTAGAAAGGGTAAAAATATTTCTCCTTGGCTCCCTCCTCATTTTCTTTCCTGCAGACCATGCTATTATTGGTTACACTATACCACTCATTTTCTCTTTCTTAGTGGTGGAAATAAGAGGAAGCTCAGTGCTGGCATTGCTCTGATTGGAGGTCCACCTGTTATTTTTATGGATGAGCCTTCCACCGGAATGGACCCCGTAGCGCGGAGGTTGCTGTGGGATGCTGTGACGAGGACACGGGAAAATGGGAAAGCTGTGATCATCACTTCTCATAGGTGAGAATGTTGGAAATTACTGAGGGCTCAGCTGAAAGATGAATCTTAAAAATCACCTTTTAAAACCATTTTTTCTCTTCCCTGTAGCATGGAAGAGTGTGAGGCTCTTTGTACACGGCTCGCCATTATGGTGAACGGTCAGTTAAAGTGTCTCGGAAGCCCCCAGCACCTAAAAAGTAAATTTGGCAGTGGTTACACATTGCTTGCCAAGACTTCCAGAGGAGAAGATGACCTTAAAGCCTTCAAAGAATTTGTAGAGACTGTCTTTCCAGGTGAGTTTCCAGTAGCAGCAACAACAAATATTTCTTTTGTTGCTTATGGTACCAACTTTATTCCACACTAGAAAAAAAGCAGAGTTTGAATCGTCATGATTTATTGCTGTAATGCAGTTGGATGGCATCTACAGCAATAAATCTGATCATCGTTTACTCTTTATTTAACTGGTAAATGCGCAGTTAAAATACCCTGTGCAGCGATCTGGAGAAGTTGGAGCATGGCTCCCTCACACAGAGCTCAGCTCTTGTGTGGTCCAACACACCCTACCAATGTGCTCTTGGTCTTGAGAACGCCCTGTGGGTGGGGCGAAACGCGTTGACGCACTTCCGGTCCGCCGTCATTCTGGTTAACGTCACTTCCGGTGTTTGGAACTCACGCCAGGCTTATGCGGTTCAAGCGGCCATCTTGGAGGTGGAAGGCTGTTCATCCTCTGCAGTGACTATAGAAGCGTGAGGTCCCTATATCTACATTCTGGAAATTGATTATCTTGAAGCCATTGAGGCTATTAAACAAGGCTTTTAATTTTATTTAAACATGTGAGTGGCCTTATTCTATCTTTATATTCTATATGGAGTGGCAGTATTACACTATGTAGTTTTTTTCTCTGCACACTATTGAGGAATCCATGGAGGAATAGAGTGGAGACGATTGCTATACCTAAGGAGATTTGATTTCCTTTGGAGGGGTTATAGGATCCCTTATATACTATGAGGCTTATTACTCACTTCCATCTGGTGAGTGCGGTCAACATTATTTCTCACGTGGTGGATAGGTGGAAGCACATTTGGAATATTTTTGATTTTTTTATTGGTTTTGATGGGAATAAGGACTTATATATATATATTTTTTTTTCACAGACACTTATTATGAATTTAGTGTTTATTTATTTGTGTTAGTTTAATTTTAGATTTTGCGCTGTTTTTGTGTGTTGTTAATGTGTTCTTGCTGACTGAGTAGCACTGTTGATTAGTGCACTGTTCTTGAGGGTGGGGTGTTGGACCACAGGAGAGCCAGGCTGCTACTTTGTGTATTTAGTTAGTCATTTTTTTACAGGTACTTTTATAGCTCTGCCAATTTACGCAGCAGTTTACATATAATGCATATTCACATCTGTCCCTGCCTTCAAGGAGCTTGCAATATAAGGTCCTTAACTCACATTCATACATACACATACTAGGGCCAATTTAGACAGGAGCTAAATAACTTACCAGCATGCCTGTGGAGTGTGGGAGGAAACCGGAGCATCAGGAGGAAACCCACGTAGGCACAGGGAGAACATGAAAACTCCAGGCAGGTAATGTCATGGATGGAATTCGGAAGTGCTGCTAGTGCTAACCACTCAGCCATTGTGCTACCCGTGTAAGAGGGCCATGGTTCACTTTTCAGATCACTGCAGCATTTCCATTAGCATACCATGTAAGCTTTCCCTAGTAGGCTCCTATGGACATCTATGACCATCAGAAGCAGATGGGTCTTTTTTTTTTTCTTCTTTAAATCAGTTGCTTTTTTATTGATTTTTTTTGATGCACTGATCACATACCAAACAAATAACCCAGGTACACAACAATACAGTCGCAGTGGGTCAATTGAAGTAGTGGAGGCAGAGATGTTATACAACAGTAGCAGAAAGGCATGTAATGTAAGTTTACATGAATTGCTACAGACACACAGTAGTAGTTCTATCAACCCATATCATAAATTCAATAGCTAGAACAAGATATTCTCAACATAATCTAGTACACTACATATAAACCAACTTGGCTTCCGGTGCACTGGAACCATATTCGTGCCTTAAAAGTCTACACCCGTAGATTGGCATTAGGAGAGTTCAAGATCAGAGGCGTATCTACCGTGAGGCAAATAAGGCGTTTGCCTTGGACAGCATTTTTCATGGAGCGGCAGAAGGGACCACTGGCGGCGCTACAGGGGGGCAATACCCCCCCAGGTTATTCCTTGCCCCCCCTATGTGCCACCTCGCCAGGGGTGGACTGTATGGGGTATGCTGGACTCGGACAGGGGGGGGAGGGCGGTCTCAGCTGGGCTGAGCTGCACTAGGGTGGGAGGGGGGGGGGTGGAGGGGGGGGCAGGTCAGCTGTGATGTAATGGTGCCATCTGGTGCCTTTTATGAATCACAGCAACAGCCAGGACTGGCTGGGGAGACGGCAGTGCTGCTGTCATTGAGCTCCAATGTGATGTGTGACTTCCATCAAATTATCTACTATACAGAGTTAGCAGTCGTGTCACTGCTCATCATTCTTTGTAGATATCTGCCTGTCCTAATAAGCATGAGTAGGCACCCTAATAAGCATGAGTAGGCACCCTAATAAGCATGAGTAGGCACCCTAACAGTTTTCCATCGATCTTGGCTGATGAATTGCTTGCTTTGTTAACACAGCCCTTTTGCTTTTTGCTCCCTGTAGGCAGCCTGTTGAAGCATGAGCACCAAGGTATGGTTCATTATCACATAACAAATCAGAAGCTGAGCTGGGCTCAGGTAAGACAATATGTGGTCTTTGGCTACATAACCCCCAATATTTTTCAAGCTGTACTCCAGTCTTTTTACTTAGTTCTTATTCTTACTCCCTGTGACTGTGAATCATGCCTACAGTAGTTATTCCACGTTCTTTATGTTTTGATTTGGCTTCAAAGAAATATAACCACACTGGTAAAAAAAAAAAACTGCAAATCCAATTATGACGTATTGTCTTTATCAAGTGAACTATTAATTTAATCCTCTGATCTTTTGGACCTTGCTAACGGGAAGCCATCTGATTTGTATCTAAATTTGTGACTAGTTTGTTTGATATACTGTATATATAGAGCTGAAAAAAATGTAGGATTTTCAAGGGGCAAAAAATACAACAGAGAGCATATGTGAAATAGATTTTAACAACTTTTATTAATCACTATATAAAAAAATGAATGGATACTATACTGTTGAAACAATGATGAAAGCTTGGCTGTATTGCTGCAGTTTAAAAAAGTATAGTTTCGGGATGGGTTTTTAATTCACAATTATTCCCACTAAGGAACACAAAATATTTTATCCCTGGACAGGAAAGTATCGCAGGGAAATGGATTATAAAACAAGAGGCGCAAGTGAGAGATATAATGGTAGGGGAAGAATTAGGATCATATGGAGAGATGGAGGAAAAGGGAGAAGTTTTCAATAAGATGGATAGATTACGATATTACCAACTGAAACACTTTTTTGAGAATCTCCCAAAGCCTATAAGAACTAGAAAAGAGTGGAATCCATTTGAGAGAATATTGGAGACACGGGGAAATGGGAGACACGGAATTGCAAAAATATACAAGATAATAATGGAATTAGACACCGACACAAAAACTAATATACATAGAGAAATGGGAAATAGACATGGGAAGAGAAATAGATGAGGAGGAGCAAAGGAAAATGCTTAGATTAATTCACAAAAACATTAGTATGAGGGAAGTAGAAATAAATTATAAGTGTTTGACGAGATGGCACATCACACCTAATGTAAAGCATAAATTGAATAGGAAAATCTCATGGTTATGTTGGAGAGGTTGTGGAGAGGTGGGCACCTGGTATCATGTATGGTGGGAGTGTTCAAGAATACAGGTGTTTTGGTGGAAAATAGTTTATTTAATAAGGAAAATCACTAAAATTAATATAGGATTAGACCCAGAGTTATGTCTTCTCCATATCACAGAATTCCCAGTGAAATCATATAAACTCTCGGGGATATGGCATTATTTGAGTGCAGCGAAGAGCTTGATACCTAGGTTTTGGAAAAAAAAAGAGGTGCCAACTGAGGAGGATTGGATGGGCAGAATGAATCAGATCTGTGGGACGGAAAAACTGTATTACATGCATATAGATAAGATGGAGATGTATAACATAAAATGGAAAAAATGGGAAGAGTATAGAGAAAAAGTGAAATATATGAGGATATAATACCCCTAGAAATGGATTTAGAAATAATAAAAATGTATGGTGTAAAGGAGAAGAGAGAAAACGTAGAGATGGAGAGGGAGGGGGGACGAGAGGGGAGTGGGAGACTGAGGTGAGGGGGGAGGGGAAAGAGAGAGGGTGGAGGGGAGTGATTTAAATAATTTATGCAAATAGGAAGATATTGTTTGAATATCATTTTAATAGAAATGTCAATGTGATTTGTATTTGAACTGATAAATTAATATATATTTATAAAAAAAAAAAAAAAAAGATAGGTGGTGGGGGGGCAATGGGAATAAAGATAGAAATGGATATAAATGATGGTTTTGTATGTTATATGAGAGTAATGATGGAACATGTATTTTATATGGAAAATTAATAAATATTTAAATTTAAAAAAAAAAGAAAAGTATAGTTTCCCTACATGTTTCGCCCAACAAGGGCTTCCTCAGGGTAAAAGGTGTTTCAACCGCAGTGCAGTCTAAAATATATAAGAAAAATTCATCAAAATAGGATTACAACATAAGTCAACCTTTTCAATACAATGAATATACTGTTCAAAACTGCAAAGAACTCCCTAGCTCACCCTAGGTGTCAAGCTCACAGAGCTATTGAGGCGTAAACAATTAAAATTCAGGTTGGCCCATACGTCCATGCAATTGTAGAGGATATAATAGAGGTCTTGATATACTGTATGTCCCATGGTGTGTTTGGAAATCTGGATAAAGTATTTTGCATAACTATTTCCCTATTTTACCTTTTAACGTGTTTTAGACCCAGGCATAGGCTGCATTTTTTTTTTTTTCAAGCTGCATAATGCTACAATTGACTAATAGAGAGGGGGGCATTTACAAAACAAGCTGTGTTATCTAATTGATTGCCAGTTGCATTGACTCTCCCTCCGGTGATACCTTAGGCCTACTGTTGCTGCACAATCCAACTTATTATTAACACAGTGGAGTCTAGATTTAACTAGTCTCATCCTCTTCCTAGGTATTTGGGATTCTTGAAAAGGCCAAGGAGAAGTATGATCTGGAAGATTACTGTGTAAGCCAGATCACACTGGAGCAAGTCTTCCTGAGCTTCAGCCATTTCCAGCAGCCACCAGAAGTAGGCTTAGTATAGGATGACCTCGTCTGGAAGGCGTTTCAGAAAAGCAGAAGAGGTTGGCACAACACTCCCCTTCTGATAACAGACACTGTTTTTGATGCAAGCCGGCTGTCTAATCCTAACGATGACATTAGTTCTGTCTTCATATCCTGTGTGTCCGTCCGAGATTGTCATCTATCACCAGTGTCTCCATCCAGGAATTCCTCTGTGGTCTTCAAGGACTTCACCTTTCCACAGTGAAAGTACTAGGTCCATGTTTGTCTAAACATTTCATTTATAACCTTGACATTCCTCCGTCCACATCAAACCAGGTCTTGATTTTGGAAACTCCTAGCAAGAGCTCAAGAAGACAAAACATTTTTCCGTCACTTTATCTTGAGGATTCCGATTCTTGCTGGGCTTAGGATAATGACCAACGTCCACCAGTGCCTCCTCTTTCCTACATTTTATATGGTGTGTAACCTGGTGATCTCCCATCATCCCGCCTCCTTAGGGCAGTGGGCGTGGCCGCACTGAGAACTTAACACTGAGGTTTGCACTCTGTATTCCCAGGAGGCACTGGACTGTTAAATGATTGTGACGTTTTAACGTTTTACTGTTGGAATGAAAAAAAAACTTGCCTCACACTACGATGATTCAAAATAATGCAATTTTTTTTTTTTTTTTTTTTAAGTTGGACACTTTAAGCTGAAAGGGAGTAAAGCAAAGAAGGGATTTCTGGGTAGAAAATCATGATGATTGAAATGCAGAGTTTGAGTGTTTGTGTTGATGGCTGCTGTTCTGAATGTACAAGCAGCAGAATCCCTGCTCCCACAGTGCCTTACTGCTCTGTCGGTGCCCCAGGAAGGGTGCTGGGAGCTTTAAGGAATATCTGCTTTAATTTATAACAGAGGTAAAGTAAATTGCATAGTCTTTAGCCCCTAATAGGTACTTTGAAAAAGCAAGGTCCAACCAGAACTGATTTCTGAATTGGGTGGACAGTGACCAGTTAAATGCCCACCCATTAGAAATTCTATATCAACCAACATTTATGTGAAATATCCCAAACCAAATCCCCAACTTCATATGTGCAAATATCCGTAAAAAAAAAAATTATATAAAAAAAAAATAAATATATATATATATATAACACACACACAACATACAAAAATGAACATCCAGTCATATGGTGAATAAAGTTATAACATCAATTACAAACTGACCAAAAAAAATTCAAAGTCTATATACCGTATTTTTTGCTCCATAAGACGCACTTTTTCTCCCAAAAAAAGGGGGGAAAATGTCAGTGCGTCTTATGGAGCGAATATGGAGCTGCCGGTCCGGTATTTCCACCGCCGCCGTGTCAAAATACTGGGCCGGCCGCTCAGCTCTGCAGCGGGACCTTATGGAGATGACTGCTGACCTTTGGGGAGGGGGGGGGAGAGGGTACCTGAATTTGACAGGTACCCGCTCTTACTTCCGCGGAGTTGTTCTTTGATCTTACCTGTTCCTCTATCCAGCCGCGCGCTGTCTTCCCGGCTTCTGTAGTGTGGGCGCCAGCCGGGTGCCAAGTGCGCATGCGCAAGAAGCGGTGCTTTTTGTGAATGGTAAGGCGGTACCTGGGACACATGACAGATCCCAGAAGCAGCCGGACCAATCACAAAGCACAAGTGCTTCTTGCTCATGCGCACTGGGCACCCGGCTGTCATGCCGAGCGCCATTACAGAAGCCGGGAAGACAGCGCGCGGCTGGATAGAGGAACAGGTAAGATCAAAGAACAACTCCGCGGAAGTAAGAACGGGTATCTGTCAAATTCAGGTACCCGCTCCCCACCTCCCCAAAGGTCAGCAGTCATCTCCTGTACTGTCCGCAGTCTCTGGTCATCCCTGTGCTGTCCGCAGTCTCTGGTCATCCCTGTGCTGTCCGCAGTCTCTGGTCATCCCTGTGCTGTCCACAGTCTCTGGTCATCTCCTGTACTATGTCTGCAGTCCATTAGTTCAGAATTTTTTTTCCTGTTTTCTGCCTCTAAAACCTAGGTGCGTCTTATGGTCAGGTGCGTCTTATGGAGCGAAAAATACAGTAAATAAAGTCAGACACTTCTATAGTCAATGTTCCTTGGATGGGTAAAGAAAGGATTACTACATAGTTAGTCTAGATGAAAAAAAGACACTAGTTAAAGCAATAAAAAGAGAAAAAAATAAAAAATCCCATATACACAATCTTATACCCACAGTTGATCAACTTTACCTATGTTAGTATCCAGATTAGGACATTTAGGAAATAATTCAGGGCTTTTATAAAACAATCTACTGAGCTAGACAGAACTACCTCTTGAGGAAGTCTATTCCACATTTTCACAGCTCTTACTGTGAAGAAGCCTTTCCGTATTTGGAGATTAAATCTCTTTTCCTCCAGATGTAATGAGTGCCCCCTTGCTTACTAGAAAATGATTATCTCTTATATACAGTATATACAGTATATAAGACCTTATTGATCTAATAGAAACAAAAAGAGTGGGTGAAGGGGTTCTATTTGCTACTGTGCATGCTCACTCTATATCATTGTTATAGGTTAGAAGCCATATGATGGGCTTCAGAAGGAGTAGGAGAACTCCCACAACATCAAGTGTACTTCATCCTACACTGTTTAAAGTTTGGGATGACAAACCATTTTTTCTGGTGTGGTAATCCGTTTTATTTGCAGTCCAAGGGGGTAGCTAAGGGGACAAAATATTCACCCATCTTGCCAATTTATTTATTTATGGCAAAGTGGGAATGGGAAGAGGTATCTGGCAGAAACTGGGAAAAACTTCAATTATAGAAAAGATTAATTGACGATAGGAAGGGGATGAACAGTCATTAGCTCATTTCTATAAAACGCATCGGTGCTAATAAGTATGGAATACGCGCTACAAAAATGGTGAGCAGTATATCCATAAAATGAATTGGGACCACATGATTGGATGTTCCTTTTTGCACTAATATTTTGTTTTTTGAATGGATATTTGCAGGAAAGTAGTGGAGACTGAAGTTTGGGTTTTTCAAACAAGAAATCGGATTGGTTGCTTAAGGACCCTTTCACACAATCGGTCCAATCAGGTCTGCCTGTTAGTTTGTCAGGAGGACCTGATCAGATGGTTCATGTATTCCTATGGACCACCGGCTGTAAATGGACTTTTACATTTACACCCACCTACCTCAAATCCAATCCAATAATAAAAAAAAAAAAACAAGGGTATCCATTCCTCTCTGTCTAGGAGGATCAGATTGGAGAGCAGTTGGGTGTAAACAGACACCCGATCGCCCATACAGCAGAGCGAGCTGTGCCCATGTCCGCTCTACATAAACGGAGCGGACACGGACCTGTCATCTGCCCCTCTATGCTCTGCTCAGCAGGAGATCAGCAGACAGGTCCCCTCCTGAACACAGCAGATTCACACTTGCCCGCAGGCTGGTTGCGGGTACAGGAATCGCTCCTGGTCCCGCACCCACAATCACATTGCGCTGCTCTTATGAGGCTGCCATTCATTCTGCGGGAACCGCAGTGAAACCGCATGGTCAGAGAACATGCGGTTTTCCTGAGGCTGCATTTTTTAAAAGATGCAAGCACCTTTTTTTCTGCAAGATACTCAGATGCAACAACCCATTCAAATGAATGAGCAAACGCGGGCCGCACAGCCCCCAGTGGTGTGAACCCAGGGTAAAGGAAGGTTTTTCCCTTGGAGCCCCTGAGCAAAGTATAACTATAGCAAGCCTATTCAACCAATCTGCGTCCACCCAAAACAAATATCAGTTGAGGGTGGATTTGGCCCAAAATGCAACACACCCCCTCTTAAAATAGAGAAAAATAATGGGCACGTGAATGTACATGCCCTGTATAGGATGGTTATTCGCTGCATGGTCTGCACTGATTTCATATAACCCAAAGCTTGTGTTCAATTGTGAACCGAGGGGGGGGGAACAATGCGTGTGATACTCTGTAAGGCCTCCACATCCTTGGAACATAATTTAACTGCTCCAAACAGGCAATGATTGTACAAAACTAAATAATAAATCTTATTTATGCTGCTCTTTTCAAAGTCACTGACTTGGTCTAAGTTATTTCAGGATCGGTAATAACATTTTGCCAGCAAGAACACAGCACAGTGCCGGCCAATTGGCCGTTTTTCCTTAGAGTGATATTAAAGGTTTGTTTTTTGTTAAATTACCAAACATGTCATATTTACCTGCTCTGTGTTGTGGTTTTGCACAGAGCAGCCCCGATTCTCATTTTCTCGGGTCCCCCGCTGGTGTCCCAAGCCCCTCCCTCCTGCCTAGTGCCCCCACCTGTGTAGGCTCACTCCTTTTACACACGGAAAGCGGCTTGGCTCCACCCCGACTCTCTCTGCATTGGCTCACTGACTGTGAATGACAGTAGAGGGAGCTAATGGCTACCATTGAGGAGGGAGAGACGTGGGAGAGCCGATGCTCTCATGCACATTGCTGGATCAGGATGGGGCTCAGGTAAGCTTTAGCGAAGGCTGAGGGCGCTGCTACACACTGAAGGTTTTTTACCTTCATGCAAAGTAAAAAAACCTTCAGTCTTTACAACAACTTTAGAGGGTAAGTTCACCTTTTCATGTACTAACTCCAAAAATCTTGGCCAGCCCTCCAGACCCTGCTGCACATAGTAGCTGTGATACCACGTGCTGTCAGTGTAGTGGTCTGTACGCCATAACACACAACGCCATAGTGACTATCCATCATCATACTTGCAATGGCAAGTGCTCATTGGGCAGCGCAACCATGTGATCACACTGACCCAATGTGAAGCGTTTCTTTCTTCTAGAAGAAAAGCTCTCAGATGTGCTTGTCATTGGATAGCATGGTCACATGGCTGTGCTGACCAATGAGCATTTGCCATTGCAAGTATGATGATGGACACTTAATACAGGGCTGTGTATTGTGGTGTACAGTGTATGGACTGTTAAACCAGCATCACGGCTGCTGTGTGTGGAGGGGTCCGCAAGGGTTGACCAGGATATTTGGAGTTAATTC